TCATCATCATCATCATCACCATCATCATCATCATCATCAGCAGCAGCAAAATCACCATCATCATCATCATCATCATCATCATCGTCGTCATCAAAATCATCCTCATCATCGTCATCATCATCAGAATCATCGTCATCCTCATCATCCTCACTACCAGACATCATAATCATCCTCATCATAATCATCATCATCATCATCATCATCATCATCATCATCTTCATCATCATCCTCATCATCATCAGCATCATCTACATCATCTACATCATCATCATCATCATCATCATCATAATCATCATCACCATCATCACCACCACCATCATCATCATCATCATCATCAGCATCATCATCATCATCACCAGCATCAGCATCATCATCATCATCATCATCATCATCGTCATCATCACCATCATCATCATCATATTCACTATCATCATAATCCGCATCGCCACCAATCATCATCATCATCATCAGCATCATCGTCGTCGTCATCATCATCACTATCATCATCATAATCATCATCATCATCATCATCATCAGCAGCATCATCATCGGTATCGTCATCGTCATCATCACGATCATCATCACCATCGTCGTCGTCATCATAATCGGCATCATCATCTACATCATCATTATCAGCAACATCATCATCACCTGGATCATAATCATCTCGTCGTCATCAGCAGCATCATCATCAGCATCGTCATCATCATCAGAATCATCAGCATCATTATCAGCATCATCAGCATCATCAGCATCATCCGCATCACCATCATCATCATCATCATCATCATCATCATCAGAATCATCATCGGCATCATCATCACCATCAGCATCAGCATCAGCATCAGCATCATCATCATCATCAGCATCAGCATCGTCATCATCATCATCATACTCACCATCATCATCACCATCATCATCATCATCGCCATCATCGCCACCATCATCATCATCAGCATCATCATCATCATCATCATCATCATCATTAGCATCAGCATCAGCATCCTTATCATCATCACCATCACCATCACCACCACCACCACAATCATCATCACCATCACCATCATCACCATCAGCATCATAATCATCAATGTCATCGTCATCAGCATAATCACGATCATCATCATCATCATCATCATCACAATTATAGTCACCGTCATCACAATCGTCACCAGCATCGTCGCCATCATCATCGGCATCATCATCATCATTATCATTATCAGGATCATCATCATCATCAGCATCATCATCGAGGTCATCATCAGCATCATCATCATCATCGTCGTCATGATCATCAGTAGCAACAGCAGCATCATCCTCATCAGCAGCATCATCACCATCATAATCATAATCGTCACAAACATCATCACCATCACCATCACCACCACGACCACTATCATGAATCATCATCAATATCACCATTATCATCATGGTCATGAGCATCGGCATCATCATCATCATCATCATCATCATCATCATCATCGTCATCATCATCATCATCACAATCATCATCATCATCGTCGTCGTTACCATCGACGTCGTCGTCATCATCATCGTCATCAGGATCATCATCATCCATATCAGCATCATCATCATCATGATCATCATCATCGTTATCGTCATCGTCATCATCATCAACATCACCATCATGTGGACACCGTCATCAAAATCATCATCAGCATCGTAATCGTCATCGGCGTCATCATCATCAGCATCAGCATCATCCTCATCAGCATCAGCATCCTTATCATCATCATCTTGATCATAATCCTCTTGTCGTCGTCAGACGCAGCATCATCATCATCGTCGTCATCATCATCAGTAGCAACAGCAGCATCATCATCACCATCACCATCATCACCATCGCCATCCTCATCATCATCACCATCACCATCACCGTCACCATCACCATCATCATCATCATCATCATCACCATCATCATCATCATCATCATCATCATCATCATCATCATCATCATCATCATCATCATCATCATCGGCATCGCTGATTTCGGAAGCGGAGCCCAATCCTCTCCAGGTTCCTGTCCATGTCCCGGCACTTCTGCAGGGTGGACATGTTCGCCGCGTCGCTCGCCTGCTCCACGCACAGCATCACGTTGCGCCTATCCCGCATGAAGCCCACGACCAGCTGCTCGATCTTGTCAGAGAGCGTCTGGGTCGGGCGGGGAGGAGGGGGGAGGAGGACGAGGAGGACGCGAGGGGGGGAAGACAAGGGGAGAGGGCAGCCCTCGGAGGGGAGCAGCACAGCCGCCGTGGGCGGACCATCCAGACCACCTGCTCGCGGCAGGGTTCGTACCCACCCCTGTCCTGTCCTCCTGCTCCTCCTCGTCGTCCTCCTCCTCTTCCTCCTCCTCGTCCTCGCCCTCGTCCTCGTCCTCCTCGCCATCCTCGTCTGGGGGGGGAGGAGGGGGGAGGAGGGGGGAGGAGGTCTCCCCATCCTCCATGCATTCGCCCGCGCACTGTGGAGCACTCTGCAAAAAAATCGAACCACCCAGTCTAGTCACGAATATCCGCCGACCCCTTGTGGGTCTCCAGGCGTGTGAGACTGTTCCCCCCCCATTATCCCCGCCCAGGGACCCTGCACCGGGATTTTGACCCCCCCCCAGCCCGGCCCGGCCCCGGACCGAATTCACCCGGGGCGGTCTGGGCTCCCTGGGCTCGCTCTTGAGCTGCACGACAGCACTTGACGCCTCCCAAGAAGCCGCCAAGACGGTCCACGAGAACCCCAAGTCGCCGAAAGATCGCTCCAAGACGCCCAAGATGAGCTCGGAACGGCCCAAGAGGCCGCCAAAACACCCCACAAAGCGTCCAAGAGGCCACCCAAGAAGCCCCCAAGAAACCAAAATCTTGAAACTCCCTTTGGGAAAACGTGCATTTTCAGCATATCCAACTTGCTAGCCTTCACGGCGTTGAAAACCGTCCACGAGGACCCACCGAGGCCCCCAGGACCACGCAAGACGGCCCACGAGGCTCCCAGGAGGCCCCAAAGACAACCCAAAAGAACTCCAACGTGGCCCAAGAGGCGCCCTAGACGGCCCAAGAAAGCTCCAAGACGGCCCCAAGAAGGGCCCAAGAGAGGGACGACGAAGCGCGAATTCCAGCGCTCCGCCCAACGAAGCTCTCCGGAGGACCCAAGAGGCCCCCAAGCGGCCCCAAGAGGACCCCATGAGGCACCAAAGAGGCCCCAAGGAGCCCCCAAAAGGCCCAAAAGAAACCCCAAAACGGCCCCCAAGACCCGTCGAAACTGCCTCGAAGAGGCCCACGAGAATCCTCGCCACGAGATCCCAACGGATCTCCCAGAGCGAAAATACGATAACAGCAACGAGGCAACAGGAACGATGTCGAGCGCCGTGTCATGATTCGGACAAGCCTCGTGGAATGCAGTCCAGGAGGCACAGTAGTTTATAGAGTGGTCGGCGGATGTGGCGTAAGCCTATAGAATCATCTCGTCCTCTACGAGGGGGAAAGACGAATCGGATCGACTCGGCAATAGGGAACGTCGAGAACCACAACGCCGGCTGGGGCTCCTCTGGAGGGCAACAACTTTGGATATCACACTTCTCATGCACCCAGGTTGCGGCAGAAATTCTGACCGCCCTAGAACAGATACCGCAGCCCACATCAAGCACCCTGGCAGGGAGGCCCGTCGCCCTGGACGGAAGTGACCGAGTGAGAGGGCGGTAGAGGAAGAAAAACTGCACAAACATAAACTGAGTGCCGCGCGGATTTCTCGGATCGGTGCCCGACCCCCCGTCCCTGGCGCGAAGAGCGTGCGGCGCTGGAGGCGCCGTCCGGGGAGTCCTAGCGCAGATACAACAACCCCGCGCGGACCTCCGAAAGTTTGTGCATATCTCATTATTTCTTCTACGAGGCGATGGGGCGTGGAGAAGAGGACAGTTCTTACCCAAGCGTGGCCGGGCGCGCCATGGCAGCCCTGCGAGACGTATCGGACCGGAGGCCTTCCCCCTGGGGTCCAAGTAGATGGGGTCGGCGGATCGCGCAGCATGGCCGATGCATCGCCGATGCATCGGCGATGTACTGGCGACGTCGGGGATGCATCGGCGCCGTCGGCGCGGAGAAGAGAGGGCTCCACATCGAGCCGCATCGCCGACGCGGCGCGATCCTCCGACCCTATCCACTCGGACCCCACTTGGGAGGCATGGACGGACGGGGCCCGAAAGAGAGAGGGCTCTGGATGCACTAAAAAATGGGTACGATGCCCAACAGCCAATGTTGTCCAAAACCGACAGTGGCCGCTGTTGGGCAGGCGGCCCTTCGACTCAAATGGACAACGCCCGCGACGACAGCGAATTCTGTTCGAAATGGACAGGAATAGCTGGTGGTCTCTGTCCCCATCCTTTCCGTACGTACCCTGTCTCCGACCTTGTACTTCGCCGAACGCTACGGCCGCGTTGTCCATAGACGCATCCACCCCGAATGTGTCTATGCTCGCGCTTGTGGCTAGAAAGTGAGAAGGGCATGTGGCATGTGCCTCATATGTTGGTGGTCTTCTATAACAGGTCCATAAGGGGGTAGGAGGGAGGAAGACTGGCTATGGGTACGGGTGCGGATTGCACAACCACTTGGGAGGTTCCCGTTCGAGCAGGGACCCACATCCGACAATAAGCACCCATAGCTCCCTCCGACCCCCCCATGGGTATGTGTGTTGTTCGTTCGTCATTCTAGAAGAAGGGAGACTTTGCCCTCCAGCCCGAAGGTCTGGACCCTTCCGTTGTTTTTTGCGACGAAGAACCGAACAAAATGAGCTGTTCTGCGATTGGGGACGACTGTCCCAGGGCACCTGGAAAGTTGATACCCCCCGCTGGCACCGTAGCGGTGTGAACGTCCCAGCCGCCATGGGACAGGCGTCTCCCCGCTGGAAGAAAAGCGTATGCTATACGGCTGGACCTGGAACAGAAGAACACCCTTCAAGAGCATGAGACCCTCCGCAGGCCAAACCATGAGATCACTCGAGGGTACCCCTCCCCCCAGGATGCACAAGAACATCCAACGGACACGAAGAAAATCAGGTACCCTCCCCGAAACGACCCTCGATCTGATACCTAGGTCCGACCGTACCATTCTTCGCCCGCCGAATCCCGAGCCGTTCTCTGGCGGCTCCCGGGGGCCCGGCGAGGGCCCCTTGGAGGCCGCAGATTGCCAGAAGCCTTCCACCGGGATTGTCCTTCACGGCGCGAGGACGCCAGGGTTAGGTCAGGCATGTCCTCCTTCAGGCGGATTTTGGAAAGAAAAAACAGAAGTAGTCAACAAAAACTCGAAAATGCTCAAAAACCAAACGAAAAGTCGTCCCCAGACTACGCTTGGACTATTCTCGGACATTCCTCCTGTAGAGGGACATGCCCGACTTGAGGCCAGGGGCTGCCAGGGCAGGCTCGCCGCAGGGCGTGGGACTCGCGCCGCGCCGCTCGGCACAGAGAGAAAATTGGCGGTGCGCACTAGGGGGGGAGTGAGGGGGGCGGGCTTCCTTAGAAGGAGGCTGCTTCTTAGAAGGCGCCAGCCTTACATCTATAGATAAGGCCTGCGCCTTCTAAGAAGCAGGGTGCTTCTAAGAAGCCCTCCCCCCTCCCCGCATCCCCTTCTGCGCGTAGCTGAGAAGAGTGCCTCACCGGGCCAGCCGACGAGCCGAGGGGGCAGGCCCCGCCTGCCAGACGGAGCCGCACCACGGCCCTGCCAGTCGAGGCGCGGCCTGACTTGGTCTCTCCCAGCCCTTCCGTGGAGTTGGGCCCGTACCCTGTGTGCAGCTCTCTCTTTCTCTCTCCTCCTCCTCCTCCTCCTCCTCCTCCTCCTCCTCCTCCTCCTCCTCCTCCTCATCCTCCTCTTCCTCCTCTTCCTCCGCTGCCTCCTCCTCCCCTCTCCTCCCCCCTCTCATCCTCTCCTCCTCCTCCTCCTCCCTCCCTCCCTCCTACCTCCCTCCCTCCCTCCCTCTCCCTCTCCCTCCTTCCCTCCTCCTCCCTCCTCCCTCCTCCCTTCCTCCCTTCCTCCCTCCTCCCCTCCTCCCCTCCTCCCTCCTCTCCCTCCTCCCTCATCCCTCCTCCCTCCCTCCTCCTCCCCCCTCTCCCTCCCTCCTCCCTCCTCCTCCTCCTCCCTCCTCCCTCCTCCCCTCTCCTCTCCTCCTCCCTCCTCCTCTCCTCCTCCTCTCTCTCCTCTCTCTCACCTCCTCTCCTCCTCCTCCTCCTCCTCCTCCTCCTCCTCCTCCTCCTCCTCCTCCTCCTCCTCCTCCTCCTCTTATTATTATGATTCTTCGTATTATTTGTTTTAATATTATTAGTACTAGTAGTATTAGTATTAGTATTAGTATTATTATTAGTATTATTATTAATATTATTAGTATTATTATTATGATTATTAGTGTTATGATTGCTATTATTTGTGTTATTAGTATTACTACTACTACTACTACTACTACTACTACTACTACTACTACTACTACTACTACTACTACTATTACTACTACTACTACGATTAATAATAATATTATCATTATTTTTATTATTATTAGTATTATTGTTATTATTAGTAGTAATAGTAGTATTCTTATTCTTCTTCTTCTAAATATTATTATTATTATTCTTAGTATTCGTATTATCATTGTTCTTCTTATTATGCTTATTATTGTTAGTATGCTTCTTATTCGTATTATTATTATTATTACTATTATTATTACTATTATTATTAGTCTTCTTAGTATTAGTATTCTTCCTCGTCTTCGTATTATTATTCTCCTTCTTATTAGTATCCTTTTTCTTGTTATTATTATTCGCAATAGTATACTGCTTCGTCCTATTATTATGCTTATTAGTATTATTGATATTCTTCTTCTTATTATTATTCGCATTCTTATTACTATTATCAGTCTTATTCTTATTAGTATTATTAATCTTATTGGTGTGATTATTATTATTATGATTCGCCTTATTCGTATTCCTATTATTATTCTTAATATTAGTATAATTCTTATTGTTATTCGTCTTCGTATTCTTATGATTCTTATTATTTTTAGTAGTATTCTCAGTAGTAGTATTCTTATTCGTATTCCTCGTAGTTTCCTATTATGTGTATTATTATTCTTAGTATTCGTAGTATTCTTCTTATTGTTATCATGATTATTCTTATGATTATTATTCTTCGTATTCTTATTATGATTATTAGTCTTCTTATTAGTTTTCTTATAACTATTAGTATTATTATCATTAGTACTCTTATTCGTCGTACTAATATTCTTCTTAGTGGTATTCGCCTTCTTCTTAGTGTTACTCTTCTTCTTCTTAGTATGCTTCTTATTCGTAGTATTATTCGTATTATTCGTCGTGTTCTCAGTATTGTTATTATTATTATTCTTCGTAGTAGTCGTAATATTATTCTTATTATTATTATGCTTCGTATTCTTCTTATTATTAGTAGTATTATTCGCATTACCCGTCTTATTATTATTCGTCTTAGTCGTATTCGTCTTACTATTGTTCGTCTTCGTATTAGTTTTCTTTATATTCTGCTTATTATTATTATGATTCTTACTATTCTTCTTATTATTCGTAGTCTTCTTATTCTTTTTAGTAGTATCATTCTTCTTCTTATTATTATTGTTATTATTATGCTTCTTCTTATTATTACTCTTATTATTCTTCGTCTTCTTCCTCCTCCTCCTCCTCCTCCTCCTCCTCCGCCTCCACCTCCTCCTCCTCCTCCTCCTCCTCCTCCTCCTCCTCCTCCTCCTCCGCCTCGTCCCTCCTCCCTCGTCCTCCTCCTCCTCCTCCGCCTCCGCCTCCTCCTCCTCCTCGCCCTCCTCCTCTTCCTCTTCCTCTTCCTCCTCCTCCTCATCCTCCTCCTCGCCATCATCATCATCATCATCATCATCATCATCATCATCATCATCATCATCATCATCATCAGCATCATCATCAGCATCAGCATCATCGTCATCATCATCGTAATCATCAACAACATCCTCCTCATCATCATCATCAGCATCATCATCATCATCATCATCATCATCATCATCATCATCAATCATCATCATCATCATCATTCATCATCATCATCATCATCATCATCTCATCTCATCATCATCATCATCATCATCATCATCATCATCATCATCATCATCATCATCATCATCAGCTTCATCATCATCATCATCATCACATCATCATCATCATCAATCATCATTCATCATCAATCATCATCATACCATCATCATATCATAATCGTCCTCATCATCAGCATCGTCATCATCATCATCATCATCATATCAGCAGCAGCCAGCAGCAGCAGCAAACACTCATCATCATCATCATCATAATCATCATCACCATCATCTTCATCATCATTGTCAACATCAGCATCATCAGCATCATCATCAGCATCATCAGCATCATCAGCATCATCAGCATCATCCTCATCAGTTTCATTAGCATCATCAGCATCATCATCATCATCATCCACATCATCATCATCATCATCATCATCAGCATCATCATCAGCATCATCATCATCATCATCATCATCATCATCAGCGTCATCATCATCATCATCCTCATCAGTTTCATTATCATCATCAGTATCACCCTCATCATCATCAACAGCATCAGCATCAGCATCAGCATCAGCATCATCGTCATCATCATCATCAGCATCATCAGTATCAGCATCAGCATCATCATCATCAGCAGCATCATCAACATCAGCATCATCATCAGCATCATCAGCATCATCATCAGCATCGTCGTCATCATCAGCAGCAGCATCATCATCATGATCATAATCATCATCACCATCATCATCAGCATCAGCATCAACATCAGCATCATCATCATCAGCAGCATCCGCATCAGCACCAGCATCATCAGCATCAGCAGCAGCATCATCATCAGCATCAGCATCAGCATCATCATAATCATCACCACAACCACCATCATCATCAGCAGCAGCATCAGCAGCATCGTCATCATCATCAGCATCATCAGCATGATCAGAAGTATCATCGTCATCATCATCAGCAGCAGCATCATAATCAACGTCATGTTCATCACCACCAACATCATCATCATAGTCATCAGCAGCATCAGCATCATCATCATAAGCGTAATCATCAGCAGCAGCATCACATTCATGATCATCATAATCAGCATCAGCATCATTATCATAATCAGCATCAGCATTATCACCAGCATCAACATCAGCTTCATCATTAGCAGCATCAACTTCATCATACTCATCATCAGCATCAGCATCGTCATCACCAGCATCAGCATCAGCATCATCATCATCATCATCATCATCAGTGTCGACAGCATCATCATCAGCAGCACCATCAGAATCAGAATCAGCATCAGCATCGGCATCAGCATCACCATCATCATAGTCATCAGCAGCATCGTCATTACCATCATCAGTATCATCATCATCATCATCATCATCATCATCATCATCATCACCATCATCACCCTCACCCGCATCCTTATCCTCATCCTCACCCTCATCCTCACCATCCTCATCATCCTCATCATCCTCAACATCCTCATCATCATCATCATCATCATCATCATCATCATCATCATCAGCAGCAGCATCATCCCCCTCATCCTCACCCTCATCCCCATCCTCCTCATTCTCATTCTCGCCCTTGTCCTCGTCCTCATCCTCATTCTCATCATCAGCCTCCTCCTTCCTGCCACTGCTCTCCACTGTCAACTCCGGAGCCCCACAGGAAGCTGTACACATGATCCCAGTGAGCACACATGCATGCTGGCTCGCGCTCCGTTGGGGACACCCACCACGGGGGTGTACCCCAGGTATGGAGTTCCACCTATAGCCCCAGCGGGTGTATGTAAATGGCCCTTCCGCGCCAACGGTGGCACACCGCTGGCACAAACCTTTCCTCACAGGGAATATGGTGCCAGTGGGGGTGGCTGCGCCCCTTTCGGCACAACCGTCAAGCAGACTGTGCCCCAAATAGAGTTCCACTTGTGGCCCCGGCAGGGGTGACGAAATGGCACCGTCGCGACCATTTCGGCGCACCCCTCACGCACATCGTGCCCCAAAGGAGCTCCACAGCCATGTGGCCCAGGAGGGGGTGCTCATGCGACGCCGCGCCAAGTTCGGCACACCCCTCAAAAGAGGAAGAAACAACAGCATAAACATAAAAATTCGGAGCTCCGCTCGAATGTCTTAGATCTGCGCCGGACCCCTCCCCCCCGGCGCCAGGGGCGGCGCCCGCTGGAGGCGCCTCAGTAGGGCCCGGCGTCAATCTGAGAAATCCACGCGGAGCTCCAGAAGCGTATGATTATGTCATGTTTCTTCCTTGACTGATGGCCCCCAGCTCCTCCCTCCTCCTGCCGCTGCCGCTTCAGGCACGGGGGCCGCCTGCTTGCCCGTGTCCAGGGCGAAGTCGCGGAAGCCAGGCAGGTCCACGATCTGCATGTCCACGCCTCGGTCGGCCCGCACGCCAACCCACGAAGAAGGTAGAGGGGGAGGAAACGGAGGAAACGCATGAGAGGAGGAGGAGGAGAGGGAGGAGGAGCAGGAGGAGGAGGAGGAGGGGGAGGCGGAGGAGGAGGAGGAGGAGGAGGAGGAGGAGGAGGAGGAGGAGGAGGAGGAGAGAGGAGAGGATGGAGGAGGGAGGAGGAGGAAAAGAAGGAGGCGGAGGAGGAGGGGGAGGGGGAGGGGGAGGAGGAGGGAGGAGGAGGAGGAGGAGGAGGAGGAGGAGGAGGAGGAGGAGGAGGAGGAGGAGGAGGAGGGGAGAGGAGGAGGAGGAGGAGGAGGAGGAGGAGGAGGAGGAGGAGGAGGGGCGGAGGAGGAGGAGAGGAGGGAGGAGGGGGGAGGAGGAGGAGAGGAGGAGGAGGAGGAGGAGGAGGACGAGGAGGAGAGGTGAAGAGGAGAGAGGAGGAGGAGGAGGAGGGAGAGGAGGAGGAGGAGAGGAGGAGGAGGAGGAGGAGGAGAGAGGAGGAGAGGGAGGAGAGGAGGAGGGGAGGAGGAGGAGAGGAGGGGGAGGAGAGAGGAGGAGGAGGAGGAGGGGAGGGGGAGGAGGAGGAGGAGGAGGGGGGAGGGGGAGGAGGAGGAGGGGAGGAGAGGAGGAGGAGAGGAGGAGGAGGACTAGGAGGAGGAGGAGAAGAGGAGGGAGAAGGAGGAGGAGGGAGGAGGAGGAGGAGAGAGGAGGAGGAGGAGGGAGGAGGAGGAGGAGGAGGAGAAGGAGGAGGCGGGGGGGAGAGGAGGAGGAGAGGAGGAGGAGGAGGAGGAGGAGAGGAGCAGCAGCAGCAGCAGCAGCACAGACGGACGAGGAGGAGGGAAGGAGAGGGGGAGGGGGAGGAGGAGGAGAGGAGGAGGAGGAGGTGAGGAGGAGGGGAGGAGGAGGAGGAGGAGGAGGCAGGAGGAGGAGGAGGAGGAGGAGGAGGGGAGAGAAGGGGGGGGAGGAGGAGGAGGAGGAGGAGGAGAAGGAGGCTCCACGGGGCACAGCGGACTACCCCGCCCCCTGGAGGGCCCCTACCTTGCACCGTCTGATTACACCCCTGGGGATGCGGGGGGATGGCAGCGCCGCCAGGCAGCACCGATGCCGTGAGGTGCTAGGCGCCAGGAGGAGGAGGGAGGGAGGAGGACAAAGGGCAGGAGGACGAAGAGGAGGAGGAGGAGGCGGCGAAGGAGGAGGCACAGGAGGAGGAGGAGGAGGCTGAGGAGGAGGAGGAGGAGAGAGAGGAGGAAGGGAGGGAGAGGACAAAGAGGAGGGGGGAGAGTGGAGGAGGCGGACGAAGGCCAGAGGAGAAGAATGACAGTGCGCCGCCGTGGCCCCCTGGCACGTTGAGGCATGGTAGAACTCCAGGTGTTGTCTGGTTGGGTTTCTGTGCGACCTTCTGAGGCCAGCTGCCTCCCGAGGCTCTCCCGGGCGCCTCGACGCCACCCCGAGGCTCTCCAAGATGGCTCCCACAACGGCCATCAAGGTCGCCAAGCTTGTTCAGCATGGCCTCAACTGGCACCCGCCAGCCACCAAGAAGACCGCAGTGGGCGTCAAACAGGCCCCAAGAGTCTTGACAGATAGGGCCAAGAAGCCTTCCAGTAAGGCTAAACTCCCTTAAGCGCCTGACGGTATCGTTTGACTGAGAGGAGGGTGAGAGGAGGGACGAGGGAGGAGAAGGAGGATGAGGAACAGGACGCCGACTGAGCAGAGCTGTCCCGACTACGTGAGGGGATGGGCGCGCAACACCGAAGCGCTCAAATGGTGGCGTCGAGGAACCTGTCTGCAAATGAAGACCACTGCTCAGCAGAGAAGGGCAGAAGACACGAATCGCCACGTCTTGCGACAAGTCCTTTCGATTCTGGATAGCTGCAAATGTCGTCTGCCCACCTCTTGTGCAGACGATGCGGCAGCTGCCTCTTGCTCTTCTGTCCCTGCCGGCATCCCACATAGGGCAGCCTCCTCCTCCTCCTCCTCCTCCTCCTCCTCCTCCTCTCCCACCTCGTCCTCCTCCTCCTCCTCCTCCTCCTCCTCCTCCTCCTCCTCCTCCTCCTCCTCCTCCTCCTCCTCCTCCTCCCAGGGCCGCCGCCCGCACTGAAACTGGTACCCTGGCGGCCCTGATTCTGGCTCGAGCAGCCAGAAACCAAAGGACAGCACCCCGACACCCCCCAGAGATCCGAACTCATCGCGAGGAAATTCGCAGCATGGTGGGGAATCACGCACGGAGCCCCAGACCCCGTCTTTGAGCATCCTTTGACCAATCCCTATCCCCACTGGCGTGACCTTGGCCCCACTGGCCGATTTACCCAAACCAGGCGGGGATAAATGCCAGTTCCTTCTAGTTTCGAGGGGCCTGTACCCACCTAGGAGGGTGAGCTGGCGTGGCTGAGGCACCACGGCCCAGTGGGGATGGGAATAGGTTAGACGATGCTGAGTCTTTCTGCGGCACTCCTCGAACCAGATCGACTTGCGACAGACCCAAAGCCTGGAGCCGGGGGGGAGCGCCAGGTGCAAACAAGATAGCGACGCCTGGACCCCTGGCACGCGCTGCTCGACCGCAGCAGGTCTTCGGCAACAAGGGGCCTCCAAGAGCACTCCTGGGCCCTGAAACCCGAGGGCGAGCACTGGTACTGTACGTGTTCCGCCTGTTTTGCGCCACCTGCAGGGCCTTCATCGCCACGTCCGGATTCACCTCGATATCTTGGCCAGAACACAACTCCAGGAAAAGTCCAGGGGCCGAGTCTGAGGCAGGCGCGGGGGGTCTTCGGCAGGATTCCGACCATGAGAAACCCCCATAAGAACCACCCGACCCTGAAGCCTAGGGATATCGGCAAACTCAGGGTGTGGGAACCGTAGAGTTCTCAGCGCAAGCCTCCTCGATGAGCCCCAGAAGCCTAGGGTGCCCTAAAGAGAAGAGAGCGGCGTCTTGATGCGAGTGCCCTCCAGCTTCTCGCGCATGGTTTGAGGCGGTCGGGATGCCTCCAACCTCTGGGGCCGAAGCCCGCGGAGCTCATCGGCAGATCAAGGCGGGGCCAGGGTGGCCGCAGACTGGCGACTCGATGCGCACGTAGACTGGTTCGGGGCTCACGGTCTCCCCCAGCTCCTCGTGGGCGTCGCCCACCTTCTTCATCACCATGGCGATGGGATGCTCCTGGCCAGGTGGGACCCCGCAAGCCTTAGGTCGGGCATGTCCTCCCACAGGCGGATCTTGAAAGAAAAAGGAAAAATTGTCAAAAATATCCTGGAGATACCCAATGATTGGTCGAAAAGTCGTCCCCATTGCACTTTCTGACTGTTCTTGAAGATTCCTCCTGGAGAGGGACATGCCCGACTCAACGCGAGCCCTTCTGCATCCTCGACTTTCGTCTGATGGGGACGGGGCCTTCAGTCCCAGGTGCTCACCGCGCCTCTCAGAAACTGCACCCGCCTCGCAACAGTCCCGACATGCCCGTGGAGCGAATCCCCCCAACGCCCTCTGGGCGCAGGTGGTCTAGAGAGGCTCCGCGTCCAACCCCCCTCTTCCCCTTCGGGAAGGGTTCATCACTGCCCCCTATTCATATACACCCCGATACCCCAGGCGACCGGCAGCCAACCAGGAACCATGAGGACCCCATGTCCACCCGCCCCCCCACCATCCCTGTCAAAAACGATACGAACACACACTCTGTCTCCAAATTCGGAGCATGCGCGGCCAACCCGATACGCCCCCCCCCACCATCCTTGTAAAGACTCAAAACAAAATACACTTTAGGACAAAATCTAGAATCATGTTCGTTAGACCCGCGAGCACTTTGTATTGTTTCTGACAGGGACGGCCGGGGTGTCAGCATATCGCCTGCTGTGCGCAGGGCTACCAGCCCTAAAAAACAACGCAAAATGCACCTCGCAGCAAAATCTGGATCATGCGCGGCCACCCGGCGAACACTGTCAAGTGGTTTTTGACAGGGACGGCGGGTGGTGGTGGCGTATGGCCTGCTGTGCGCAAGCCCACCAGACACAATGATGGGCATTGGTTTTCGACAAGGATGGTGGGGGCCGACATGTTTCCCGATGTGTGCTGTCAAGTGCGCAGGCGCTTGACAAGCGCACCTGAAACGCTCTGCACGTGCCCCGAATGTGGCGCGCCTGACGCGGCTGGAGTACGCGGCGCACCTGGCCAACGCGGAGCACGTGGCGCATTTGGCGCACCAGGCGTGCCTGGCACGCTCGGGCCCCAGGGGGGCCTGGCGCGCGTGGCGCGCGTGGCACGTGTGGCGCACCTCGCCCCAGCGTCTTGAGCACAACTGGCGCACTCGGAGCACGGCGCACCAGGCGTGCCTGGCACGCTCAGGCCCCAGGGGTGCATGGCGCGCGTGGCGCCCCTGGCACGCGTGGCGCACCTCGCCGCACCGTCGCGCACATGGGGTCGGCTTTGGTTACCAGTAGCCGCCCATACAAAGACGACCGCTGAACATGCTCAGGCTCGGGTGTTAGTCATGCGTTGAGAGGGCGGGTAGGAGTGAGCTAGACGGCTTACGGGCGGGTGGGTAGCTCGATCACAGTTCCCTATTAATATACACCCCCTCCCCCAGGCGACTGAGAGCCAACCCAAGTCCATGAGGGCCCCCCCACCACCCCTTGCAAAAAACAATACAAACACACACTCTGCCCCCACCATCCCTTGCAACAAAAAAAAAAAAGAAAAAAAAAAAAAAAAAAAAAAAAAAAAAAATGCCTCAAAATTCGGAGCATGCGCAGCGAACCCGATGCGGCCTCCCCCCACCATCCCTGTCAAAAAAACAATACAGAGTACACTTGGCGGCGGCGGCGGCTGCGGCGGGGGCAGCGGCTGCGGCGGCTGCGGCGGTGGCGCGGCGGGGCGCGGCGGCGGCGGCGGGGGCGGCGGCGGCGGCGGCGGCAGCGGTGGCGGCAGCGACTGCGGCGGCAACGGCTGCGGCGGCGGCGATTCGGCAGCGGGGGCGGCGGCGGCGGGCGGCGCGATGCCGGCGGCGGCGGCGCGGCAGCGGCGGCGGCGGGCGGCGGCGGCGGCGGCGGCGGATGCGCCCCAAGTAGCTGCCCATCCAAAGACGACTGCTGCATATGCTGCGGCTCGGGCCAGGCTCGGGTGCTAGGTATGTGCTGGGAGGGCGGGTGGGAGTGAGCGAGACGGCTTGCGGGCGGGGAGGGAGACTCTTGACCCCTCCCCCTACCCCCCCGCTGGACCTGGACGGAGCGCCCCGCGAGCGGTTAGAGCATCTAAGATGGCCCAAGACGGCTCCAAGAGGGCCTCAGAGGGCCCAAGATGACCTCCGAGAACTATAAGGTGAGGGTCGAAATGCGTGGCGATGACAGACATGGGCATCCGAATCACGGTTGAGGGAAAACGATAGGGAGGGACTGGCTCAGGGAGGGGGGGGCATCGACCTGGAAGAAGCTATAGATCGCCGACGGGTCGGCGAGAGCCGCACTCCCTCCTGGGCATATCCCCCCTGGCGTTGCCCGAACCAGGGCCACCGATCGCAGATTAGGCCCTCCGAGGACCGAGCTGGCCTCTACCAAGTGTCAGAGCGCTTGCCACAAGCGTACTCTGTTCCAGGAATATGACAAACCTGACTCACCACAGCAGAAGGCAAAAGAGTAGGGGGAGAATGAGAGGGAAGCATGACCGGAACAAGAGTGAGAGTGAGAGTGAGTAAGGGGAGAATGAGAGAGTACAGTCTGCAAGGGCCTCGGAAGCCCATTTCGAAGCTTTTCGAGCGGGGCGCGGGCAGCGAAAGCGGCCAAGGATGGACCGAGGAGGCAAGGATGCAAGGGTACCCTTGGGAAGGTTGCCCATCCTTACTATGCGGGTTGACTGTAGAGGGAGAGTCAGAGGCAGCACATCTCATCACTGGATTATGACGTGCGAGGGAAACCGTCGCAGCAGAACAAGAAAAAGTATCGGCGGGCCAAAATGGGGGGGGAGGACCAAGAGAGGCACGAGCCACGAGGCCGCGAGCCACAGGATCGAGAGCCACGAGATGTCACGGTGGCATGGACCAGAAGGAGCGTGGGCCCCGTGGCCCCGCGCGAGCTATGCGGAACATCGGGCCACGGAGCCACGAGGCCGCAGAAGCAGAGGCCCGTGGAACCCATGGGCCACGGAAGCACGGGCCTCAGAGCCAGGGGCCCTGGAGCCACAGGTCGTGATGGGCCAAGTTTTCCACCACCGCTACCCATAGGTAGGGCGGGGCATCAGGGAGGATGGGGAGGTCCTCCTCCTCCTCCTCCTACTCCTCCTCGTCCTGCCTCTCTTATCTATGGTGGTGGTGGTGGAAAATCGGCCATGAGGTCAGCAAACCGCGGGCCACAGAACCGCGCGCCACAGGACAGAGACGGCCAGGGACCGCCCGGCTGGCAGAGAGAATCTAAAACACAGGCTGTATCGCGAACGAGAAGCTCGTACTCATGGCCTGGCTCTGCGCACTCAGAACTGCATCCACTCAGAAGTACCCTAAACGTCTAGCGAAGTGAAATAAGACTATGACACACGATAAACGTTGCACATGTGAAGGGGGCCACGAGAAGGCCACGAGGGGGCCGCAAGGAAGTCACGCGAGGATCACGCGGACAGGGATAAATCGTTCTGGAGCGCTCTGGCACGGCCGCGGCGGCCCGATGCATGCTCCAGAAGCGCCAGACCTCAGAGATCCCCGCGATCTGTCCTGGTCCGACTTTGTCCTGGCCCTGGCCTCGTCTGACATAGGGAACAGCGGCAGAAGACATTCTGAAGCGAAGCGAAGCGAAGCGAAGCGAATGACAGAGTCGTGCGCCTCCTCCAGGGAGCCCGCCCGTGCCCATCAGGGTATGGCGTGGAGGCCGCGGCCTCGAATGTGTGACACGCAGGCGGACTGACGTGGTAATCATTCAGTGCCCCGGACGGATGGTAGCCATCGCAAGTCGTCTGTCTGCGGCCTCGGCATCTCGCGCCACCGACCTAGCTCTCTCGCTCGACCAATAGAGGGTCATGGGGAAAAGGGGGGCCTCCTACTAAATCCGCCACCTCATCCTCCCCCTCCTCTTCCTCCTCCTCCTCCTCCTCCTCCTTCTCTTCCTCCTCCTCCTCCTCCTCCTCCTCCTTATCATCGTCAGCATCATCATCATCATCATCATCATCATCATCATCATCATCATCATCATCATCATCATCATCATCATCATCATCATCATAATCATCATCCTCATCATTATCATCATCAGCAGCATCATCAGCATCATCAGCATCATCAGCATTATCATCAGCATCATCATGATCAGCAGCAGCATCATCACCATCATCATCATCATCATCATCAACAGCATCATCAGAATCATCAGCAGCATCATCAGTATCATCAGCATCATCATCAGCAGCAGCAGTATCATCATCAGCATCACCGTCAGCAACAGCATCATCATCAGCATCATCAGCATCATCATCAGCATCATCATCATCAGCATCATCATCAGCAGCATCCGCATCATCGTCATCAGCAGCAGCAGCATCAGCATCATCATCACCATCATCAGCATCATCATCAGCATCATCATCATCGTCCGCCTCCTCCTCCTCCCCCTCCTCCTCCCCCTCCTCCTCCCCCTCCTCCTCATCCGCCGCCGACGCCGCCTCCCCCGCTTTCCCCTCAGCCTCCGCCTCCGTCTCGGCCTCCGCCTCCGCTGCCGCCTCCGCCTCCGCCTCCGCCTCCGCCTCCGCCTCCTTCTCCTGCGCATCCTCCTCCTCCGCCGCCTCCTCCTCCTCCTCCTCCCCCTCCTCATACTCCTCCGCCTCTTCCTCCTCCTCTTCCTCCTCCTCCTCCTCATGCTTCCGCTCTTCCTCCTCCTCCGCCTCCTACTCCGCATCCTTTTCCGCCTCTGCCTGTCTCATGTTCCTCTTCCTCCTCCTTGTCCTCCTTCTCCCCCTCCTCCGTCTTCTTATTATTGTTCGTCTTCGTCTATGATTCCTATTATTGTTTCTAGTATTAATATTATTATTGTATTATGATTAGTAGTAGTAATAATAGTATGTTTCTTCTCCGTAGTATGACTCGTGTGATTCTTCTTAGTATTAGCATATTAGTATTATTGTTATTGGTGTTAGCATTCGTAGTATCATTGGTCCCCGCATTATTGTTCTTATTACTCTTCTTATTAGCA